TTTTTTGAACCCCTGTTCAACGTGTCATTGAGAATAACGCACATCTTCTTATGTGCTAGTTTTCCTGAGGACAACTGTTTCATGCTTATTCGTGTTCGTTTTCATGTTGGAACTGAAATTAATGCTTTTGCTAAGAACAGTGGTTATCACCCAACGTCCAACATTTTATACTGTAACAAAAGGTTGGTATAACCACAGAAACAAATATTTTTGTCTGTTTGAGAAATCATGATCGTTTTGACATCAAAGTCATGCGAAAGATGTCATGTTGCTGTAATGTTATCATATTGTTTACCCAACACCCACATAGACCTTCTATCAGTCTGTCCGTAATCTTGTGTTCAGAGAGCAGACACTATCGACTGACCCATGATTTTATCTTCCTGTGGTACGTTGGCACAGTGTCTTCAATGTCTGCTTTTAACTCCGGAGGTGCCGAATTCGATTCCACTCGACGGCAATCATTGTCATATCCACGAATAACGTGGAACAAGGAATTTACCGCACATTGCTTCAAGCCAGAAATGCTCAGTTGCTTGAGTGTCGAACTCAGAACCTATAAGTCCCGAGTTCAAGCTCCGGTGTGGATCACTCGCCTTTTTCCTTCCGATGTTGATAAATGAATCCCACTCTGTTGGAAGAAAATAGGAGACTACACGTTACGATTGCCTAGCAGCTGTAGATTCTGTCTTTAAAAGTTAACACACTCCTGGCTGATGGCGTACAAACCAAGATCAGCACCATACCATCATCTTCATCAAAGAGGGCGCCAAAATTTCCCAATCATGAAAGTTCGACACTCCAGCGGTAACAAACTGTTCTTTTTCCTTTTCTTATTTTCCTAGCACAATTGCTTGAAGGGCGCGAAAGTACCCGTTGCGCCTTTGTTTTGCTGTTGTCCGAGATATTCGCGTGAGCGCAGAATTTTGAAGTTAAGCTGTAGTTTGAGTTTCTTTACTGTAGCACGATACGATAGTACTCGTTCCGCTACCTTTTTATTCATATTCCCCTTTACCTTATCAGACATTTACTGATAGCAGAATATCCCACTCCGCCGTTTGAATCCTGTTTTTTATCGATTGACTAATTATTATTTCTCGAATGACTAATTTGCTTCTATGACAGAACCAAGATACTTTATTTATAGATATGGGCTGTCATGCTATAAATCTTCTTTATCGAAATGATTGTGTAACCCATGAATTATCTGGTTTTTTCTATGGGACAGATCATCTTATCTTCTGTCCTAGTATTAACAAGATAAAGCTAGTTATTTTTAAGAAACTGCATCCATCGTTTTGGATATCATTTGCTTCTACCCCCTTTCTGCATTTTTTACACAATAAGCAAGTCAGCTGCAGAGAGCATACACCATGGGACTGCCTCTAATACGTTCAGTTAACGTGCTTTCGTGATATTTCTGGCTTTGCGTTTAACATTTAAATTTCTGAAATTTTTGCGGAATCGTAAACTCTGAACGTAAACGAAACTGCCAGAGTTGGCATTGAAAATTTGTGGTTCAGCAAATGACCTATAATAACTGCAGAGCGATGGTAAATTTCAAGTATGAGAAAAGAACGGTACAATAAATGCCAAAAGCTGGTAAAGTTAAAGATATTTTATTATATAAGTAGCTGTTGCGGCGATTAATTACCGTGCACAACATAAATTGGCAAATGCAAGCGCAGAACGAATGAAGCGCATTTAAACGAGGTTCTTTATTTAAGTAGAAGTGGCTACCTAAAAACACGTTAAGCTTTTACATGGGACCAGTGTGATGGTAAAATACCTTCACGAACTGATGTTCCATCAAACGTTCAGCCGGCCACCTATCTTCCATTCTGCGAACAAGACATTTGTCCAAGAAACTTCGACAGTCGTCGCTAATATTTTCAGGAATGGGTGGAATTCCGCCGTTTCCAACTTTGTAGATAATTGACAAAAAGTGGTATTCGTGCCAAGGCGGCTATATGAGAACGTTAAGCGTTAATGTAGGTTAATTATAAAACATATTTATAGCAAAAATGCAATTCCAGAGTGTAATAAAGCTGATGTGGAATCTTAATGACATATTGAACAACGTATTATACAGATTCTGATTGAGAGTATGGATCCTGAGCGCACAAATTCGACAATGATCTGGATATACAGACGTGGTTTCTGCCTTTTACAACGCCAGGAGAAGATGGGTGGCACTCGGCCACGAGAAACAACCAGTGGGCTTCAAAAACTGTGAACTGAATTCCAGTGGATGAGAAATGCCCCCTCCTCCCTTCACCCTCAGTCACCCAAGAATACGCTTTTAACGGTGTAGGCACAGAGTGGGTGGCATTGAAAAGATTGGTCTAGGGTCGATTATATATACTGTAGTACAGTATGTCTTTACTGTTGTCTTTGCTCGTCCGACAGTTGCGCAGTGTAGTCGAGCAGCCTTCAGTTGCACTTGCGAGCACGTCGCAGCATCGCGGGATTTCGATTTACTTAATTTTCTTTTTTACGAGTTAAAGGTGATTTTTCAATTATTTTTAAGTGAGTTAAGACGGACTGCAGTACTAAGGCGTTCTGTTCACACGGCACGACAGTTCGTCGGTAATGAGTATATCAAGACACCATGGCTCTGTTACTGTTGCCAAGTTTGCTACGCATGTCACATATTTCTCAGCTAGTTGCATTGAAACAGAGTGAAATGAATTCCTTCCTGAAAGGAATTACTACCTTATAAGACAAATTTTGCGACATGCTTAGAATTTGAACCCTGCGTATCTAAAGCCCGGAACCGTGTGCGTATTTGGAGTGCAGAGCGACTCGCCTCCTCGAAGAAAAAAGGCCCCAAAACTTACCGTTACACTGCGATTAGACTCGGTTCGTCAAACGCTAGAGGAAGCAACTTCGATGAGAAGTGGTAAGTGGGACACCCGTCTGTACGAAATTCTCCAGGCCAGCGTCAGCTCTGTCACCGAATTGCAAAACTTCATACGCTATGAGAATAAAATGTTGCGAATGGCATGATTTGTCGCTGAATACCGAACGATACATGTGATATTTGCTACATTTTGTACATTACACATATACAAAGACATTAAGGCTATGATAAGTGCTCCTAACTTACCTTGCCAGTGATCATTTCCAATACCACGCATCCCAAACTCCAGATATCACACGTGCGGCCATAGCCACCAGGAATGCCAGCACAAACTTCGGGTGCCATATATGCTAAATAAAACATTTGATCAGGAAAAGGTAGCGACGACTAGGAAAGCATTTCAGAACATTCTACATAAAATATATTTCGCAATATATATTATTGCCAGATTTAGGTCATGTGACTTCTTTACCAGTTCAGCAACAGTACATATGTTTGTCATTCGAATGGGGTTATTGGCGGCCTTCATTATTCATGTGTTAACGGTCTTACCTCATTCGAGGTACTAGGTCCTTAGTATGATTTCGGCATAAGTCACAAAATAAAGTGACTCTACTGTTTAACAAATATCTTCAACCAAATGTGATTCAGAAAAACAAGCGGGCGTAAACATTTTTAGCTATAAAAAATACTACAGGTTAAACTAACGAGAATGATACGGAATCTGACATTGACTAACTTTCTGAAACGTGCAGCTACGTAGTGGACATGAACAGAATCCCGCTTCTCATAAAAATTTTTCCAACAGTTACTACAAAGTATATATTTTGTCCGTTTCGCGATGGGACATACTGACTGAAAGTGTCAGATACTGGATCCAAATAGCGGATATAGAATGGCTAATGTGAAGAGACTTCACCAAGCCTAGAAGTACGGCAGCAGTTGGAAATTCCCTCGCTTTGGAGTATTTTTTGTCAAAATCAAAAAATATTACTGCGACGATTTCGACACATAATCAAAATGAAATAGGGAAATTTGGCACATGAAGAATCTTTGCAAGGGTAGCCAAACAGCCGGAAGTGCAAAGAGAAAGGGATGCATTGCCCTGATCTGAAATTCAGTCGTAGATTTTCTTTAACGGGAGAGGTCGGAAACTGTTGTCCCGCATTTGTCAAAAGATGAAAGAATGACCCATACGCAGTCTGAGTTTTCACTTTCGTCAAGGTGCAAGAATCGTCATTTGCTATAAGGCAAGTGGCGTGAATGAAGGATTTCACCATAGTCTCTGCAAATAATTAAAGACGATGGCCTCCAGTCTTTCCATCTGTAAAGAGATGTAAATTGGGACTCTGCCTCGAGTTCCTGAACTCCAGGTTTGAAAAGCGAAGACTCTCAACTTACCTGCCGTTCCAATGTAACTGGTCAATTCACCTGGACCCGTATTTGTGGCGCTTTTCAGCCGAGCCGTGCATCCGAAGTCTCCTAACTTCAGGCAGAAATCGCTGGTCAAGAAAATATTGGCGGCTGCAAAGAAAGCACAGGTAAATTTTAAGATGAGCATAAGGCAGTGATGTGCTTTTACGTTTGATATCCCGATGAACGATGCCTTGTCGATGAAGTTCGCAGACGGCCTTCAGAAGGGACCGAGTGTAGCCCCGCACCAGCTCCTCGCATAAGCCGTCACGACATGCTTGTTCAAGGGTTCCTTCGGAACAGTACTCCATGAAAATTAACAGTTCATCCTAAAAAGACGGAGTAAAAACAGGGTGCAGTGGACTGCATATGGCTACCGTATGAACTTCGACACCATAGTAACGAACAAGATTGGGGTGCCTTATACCTTCAACGTTTTTAATCTCGTCTACGAGTGCTTGAATAGCCTGATGATCTTGTCGTTCGTACTTCACCTGCTTAACGGCCATCAGCTGACCAGTGTCCAAATTCATCGCAGTAAATACCCGACCATATTTTCCTTGACCTGTAAAACAGGCTCTAAACTTTTCACGCAATAAGAGCACATCTTACCGATTATTTTGTTGAACCACTGCCATCTAAAGTTAGTTCGTTTGAAAGCGATCAGCATCGCAGGACGAACATCGCTCGATTCAATGCAATGACCAATTAGTTTTTCATGAAACAGAAAAGCCTGTCGATGGGCATCCAGCTTGCTACATTCGAAGTTAATTCGTCCGTGGGGCCACTGTTTGTCGTCGCAACGACTGTCGTCTTCCTCCGCTACTCCGGTGTTCTGCAGGCTAGAAAGAAAGCACGACGACGATTTGCTGTGCAT